GAGTGAGAAGATGGGCACACAAAATACCACAGTACACAGCACACAGTACATGTGTCCAAGCATTTGTTGAAGTAAATTAGTTTATCTTTTTCATTTTTTTCATTTCATGTAATGTTTTGATGCGTTATTACAAATCTAAACTTTGTTATAGTCGTCTTTTTTCCTGACATTTTTCTTTAACCTTTTATACCACCAATAAATCTTAACAAAATCGAGTAGGGAATTTAATTAACAGCTAGTTAAAGTTAGTTTAAGTTTAATTATCAAGGGCTTTAGGAGCATTCTGAAAGATTACTATGCACAGTATTGTTACTTTCATAGACTGAGCATTAGCAGTTGCTGCTTCTTAAAACAAACATATAAATCTTATTTGCTTAATGGGTTTAAAAAACTGCGGGTCTCAATGGGTTCAGTAAATCTGTGGAGGAGCTGAGATTTGGATTTGAGGTAGAAGTTCTCAAAGACAGAATTACGATCTCTTTTTTAAAAGTAATTGAACACCCTCAAGCAATGAGCCCTCCTCCCTCGTGCAAATGTTAACTGTGCTCCCGATATTGACTTTTCATTAGCATAAGCAGCCTTGAAAAACCCTGTAGCGGGCCATGCAGCTCTGCAAACAGCAGCGCCTAGACGTCATTGACCACTCACTGCAGCTCAGGAGCCAGGAAATCCTGCAAGCAGGATCCTCCTCCTCACATCCGTATTCTCAAGGAGGGGCATCTGACCCAGATGGTCCCTGCAATCTTCGAACAAGAAATGACTTTCCCTGCACCCTCACCCACAAATATTTACTAGGATCTATGACAACTCAGCCTTCTGTAAGGAAGCACGCAGCACTCTCTTAAGGACACCTCAGCATTCCTGCTGCCTGACGACAGCCCTCTGAACCGTACTTCATTGACAGACATGTTGAAATGACAAACAGTAGACCCCCCAATGTATTTCTTCTCAAAAGCAGCAGTAATAGTGATCCTGATATTTCTAAACCCCCGGAACATGTTCCTGACAAATCCAGAAAACATTTAGCAAGAAAACGTTTAAGTGCAGCAATATCTTTCACAGCTATGCATCTAACAAATCTGCAATACGAAGGTGTGACTATTGAATGTTGTGAGTCCCACTGTAAACCACACAACCCTCGTTAGCTCAAAGATACAACCATTACACACAAAAGCAGTCTGCTGCTTCCTGACTCCCAGGGGGATGGGGACGAACCCGCCACCAAGCTCAATCAGCCCTGGAGACGAGAGGCAAACTCCCGGGTCGAGGACTGGAGTCCTGGTGTTTTCCCCAGCTTCCACCCCTCAAGTCATGCAGTCTCACGGCTGCCGGTTCCGTCAGGAAGTCCTCCATCTGTCCTGATCCACGACGGTCAGGCTCACCTGCCATTAAGCGACGGTTAAAGAGGTTGGAGAGTGACTTAGCCAGGAAGAACAGTTACCAGGAGCTCAGGCTGAGCCCTGTGGTCCAGGCATGGCCAGTCCAGGTATCAGCTGAGCCGAGCCATGTGCTTTCATAGTTGGGCCCCGAGACCTCAACTGTGAGCAGGGTGGTCAATGAGGGCTGCATCACAGATGGATACTGAGGGTCTTACAGTGGAGCAGAACAGTTTGGCCCGAGTCCAATCCAGACAGAACCAGAAGGGTTAAAGAAGTGCAGCTCGTTTATAATTACAGACAACAAGTCTTCAGTAATACCTTGGAGAATTAAGTTGTCTGCACCAGGGCAGCAGTGTGACTGGTGGCTGGGATCCTGAACTCACAGCTGGAGCCTTATGGTCCGAATCACTCCTGCACGTTTGAGGGAGGTCATGTATCTCCCTCCGCTGTCTTAATGGGTGCTAATTAAGCCATGTTAGATAAAAGCATCGGCTCACGCTGTATAATAAGTCTAATAAATGACAGAAGATGGTCTGACAGTGCTGGTTTTGTGGACCACGCTCGGACATGAACTGTCCAGTCACGTTTCTTCTTCAGGAGTCCACTGCTGCTCCCTTCACACTTCCTAGCCCCCTGGGCACAGCCGACGCTGTCTGTTCATCCGGTTATTGTCCGTTAAAAGAGTCGTGATGATTCAGCACAGCAGGCAGACTAAACATCCATTTCAGAGCGGAGCAGGCAGCCAGGACACACATCTTTATCTTTCAGGAAGTCTGCTAGCAGCATTATTTAAAACTTGTATATGAAATATTTTTATAATGATCCAGTTTTATTTTCCAGAAAATAAGAGTTTTAGTTTAGTGCAAACATCCATCAACCAATTTTTCAGCCGTTTTATCCTGCACAGGGTCACGGGTGAGCACACCTGTCCATCACAGGACACACACAGACCTATTACTTGTTCATATATAGACACATGCACGAATAGTTAATTGTAAATTCCATGTATTTATTATACATTATTATTGTTAGCCCTGGTGAGGAATAAAACTGCAGCTGAGGTGTACAGTTTTGGACATTATCTCCAGGTTTTCTTGACTTGGAGATGCTGTACCATGTAGCCATGGATATCATGCTGTGTGAAAAATATGTCCACATCTCCTTAAAGTTCAGACAGTGGTAGCATTAGTGATGTACTTTACAAGGCATTTATAACTGTTAATTTTAATGCTCACCTCAAACATTGCAAAAGGCAAGAGAGACGCTGTAGTATGATAAGAAACATTTCATCTTGCGCATTTAAAACTGAAGCACATGAACTATGAAGCCAATCCAGCCTTGACTAAGGCACAAAGAATAAAGGTATTCCTGGCTGGTCACTTTATCCTTCTCTCTGAGGCTCATTTTCTGATAGCGTCTTTGTGTGGACTGAATTACAATATTATTTCCACTGTCTACGTCTGTCTAGATAAACTGGAATTTAAAAAAGAAACACCATTAGATGTACTGTACCATAAAGAAAGACATCAACTGATTGTATAAAATGGAGTGCTATCAAGCCTATACATATTCAAAAATATGTTAAGAGGAAAACTTAAATTCTGAATTGAAAGTTTGATATACAGCTTTCTTCAGCTGAAATATAATTGAAGGTTATTTTAAACCTTCTGCTAGACAGGTTATTGCAATTCGTAAACCATAAAGTGTCATTAGTTTAGCGAATATGGATGAGAAATTCTCATGAATCAAGAATCAGTTTCTGGAATCCATAGTTTTTACTCTGCTATCCATGTGGATAAGTGGCAGATAAGGTAGAGGTGTAGTTGTTTTTGGCATCTGGTTTGGGAATCGGGTTGCATTAATCTGCATTTTAATTCAAAAAGTTCAAATTTACAACCTGAAAAGCAAGCTGCCTACAAGAAGGGTGTTAACCTTTCAGTGTGCTAAGCAAACAGACCTCGTAAACCGGAAACAGGAACTGTATGGAAATTGGAGAGTGACTGTTTGCTCAATTAACAGCCAGTTTGGAAAGGAAATTTCTAGCTGTCATGGGCACTGTAATAAAAAGCAGTTGCTTGGCCTTTTACTGCAAAGTGGTTTGTCTGACAGTTGTTTTGCAAAAAAAAGTGTTTTTGCTTGCCAATTGCATTGCAATTTAACAAGTTTCATATTGTGTAATACATTAAAAAACATAAAACAGTTTTCATGTAATTTGCAGTCACTAAAGAATTCTGAATTAATTGCAACTAGTCACCTAAGTAAAGATTAGATCGCAATTTCTTTATTCTCTTTTGAGCTGCCTCTGGCAGTTTGCTGATCTTCACTGGCGATGTGAATAATGGCCACAGCAGACAGAACTCTGAAGTTTACAGAAACATTTTGTCTGGTGGTGCAGAAGACAAGCTTCCCCATGGTGGACAGCAGGCCTGTCCAGCGTGTGCCCTGCCTTGTGCCTGTCGCTTGACCTGATAGAATCCGACTCCCCCAAGTCCCTGCGATGGATAACAAGGTTGGAAATGGATGGATATAGAAGAAAATACTTATTGGTTAACCCTTCACCATGAAGCACAACGTGATCGAAAGCCCATGGCCATTGCAAGCAAGGATTTCACTTGGAGAAAAAAGTGAAAAATCTTTGAATGGTCAAGTCTCACTCCAGATTTAAATCCAAATGAGCGTCATTTTATAGGCTGAAGAAAAACCTGAAGTCAGGACAGCACAAGAACAGCAAGGTCTCACTTAAAGTGACTGCAGCAGAGGCTTGGCAAAGCATCTAAAATGATTCTGGACGGAATCTAGACCTCATCCAGATTCAATCTCAGCCTCAGTGGGTCACAGGCTTCGTGCAGTAGTTACCTCAAAAGAATACTGGCTTTTACTTTTATCGCAAAGAGGTCCTTTGCAATCATTGTGTTGAAGACCAAGCATGTTTTTATACTAATGTGATCAAGTGCATGCATTAAATTATGCAAAAATACAACATTATTATATTGCACTCGTCATTCATTAATCTTATGATAACAAATACAAATTGCTTGAATGGAAAGCAAAACTAAATGAAAAATAAATCCTTTTTAAAGGCACTGTGTATGTTTCATCTGTACAGTATATTACTCAAAGATAAACTAAAATTGTATTTAAGGATAATGTTATGTTCTCAGATTACATCAGGACATTATACTGAATACAGTGTAGTAAAAGCATTTGCTATACAAATGTTACAGAAAATAATTCTAATTGTATTAGGGTCTTCCATTGTTTGTTATGTAAGATTCAGAATATAGAGAAAAGCACATTTCAAGGAAATCCTAAGACTCTTCCATCTTTTTTCCATCCTTCAACCAATAGCAAAAAGACTAATCAGCCTATTGACGAATCAGGATCCTTGATTAAAGCTTACCTGTACTTGGAAAAGTGCCAAGACCTAAAAAAAAAAGTTTCTTACAATATTTAACTCAAAAGAAACTCAAATGTTCCTGGGCTTAAAATATGCACATACAAATCGCAAACTACACTGAAAAGAATAATGAGTATTAACAATTGAGTAGTTTACTCGTCCTGTTTGCTTCCTGCATTCTTGCACAGGTAAGGGGCAGGGCTTTAGAGCCGAACAGGTGTATAAATCACTGAGCCGCTGCTGTGGGAGATCTATCAGGACCTGAAGTCACCCTCCACACAGAGCAAGACCAAAAGCCTGCCAGGAAAAGAGGTAAGAGTACTCCTGATCTCTCTGAAGTCTCGCTTGGGTGTGGTAAAGGAGCTGGGTTCCACAAAGGATAAGTTGAAATGTTTTTAAAACTAGTGCAATTTACTGATTCTTTTTTCCAATATTTTTTTGCTTCATTACATTGGCAGATCAGTCTTGCATCCAGGGTTCTGTAGTTTGTAAAATGTTTAAAAAGAGAGATTATTGGTTAAACTATTCTGTTTGTGTTTAGCAACTGACATAGGATTGGTGTTATTTCATTCATTCCTTAACTGTGTCTCATATTACTTCATTGCTTCTAGAATGAAAACCCAGAGTCCACTTATGATACTTTTTTTGGCTCTGTATGCAATCTGAGTACATACTGTAGATTGCATAGCGTACATCTACAGTACAGAAATATTTTGTTTTTCACATCCAATGCATTTCCACCTTGTTGGTGCAATTTGTAAATAGTAACAATATTTGTGTTACTTCATTGAACCGCATGCACAGAATGCTCCTGAATGTTATTCTTTCTTTTGTACAGATGTTTTGCAGTTTTTGCATTCTTGCTCTTCATATCCTAATTGCTCATCTATTTTTGTACCTTTGTCTTTCAGTGGACTTCAACCATGGCTAAAGGACTGTGTTCCCTGTTTTTGGTGGTGGTGGCTGTTTCTTCCAGCTTTGGAAAGCCCGAAAAACAAACGGCGACTCCTCAAAAAGAAAAGAAATTTCCACAGACCCTGTCCAGAGGTAAGCATCTCTAACATTTTCTATTCTGTCTGTACATGTACTGTAATTGCGCCAAACACTTGGTAAACACTTGAAGCAGATGGCTTCTACGGCAAACACACTTCCTAAAATAGTCTTGCACTGTTTAAAAACACAGTTTTATAAAGACTGGCTTCTGTTAGCTTTAATCAAAATTCCTGAGCTGGTAACTGAGTTTTGAGATGAGAAAATAATTCCATTCCTTTGACACTGACCCCTGTTACCGGCATTCACTTGCTAAGCTGTTCGTTCGCAGTTCGGCTGTGTGATTAATTACAATGCAGGCAAAGCGAATGTTCTAATGTTACATTTTCTCCCGCTCACAATGGACATCTGTTCTGTGCTGTTTTATGAAAACAAGATCTATGCATGTATTGCTGCTGAGCTGCGCACAGCTTTCCTCCGTGTGATAATAGAAGTCTTCATCTTTTCTGTTTTTCATGGTTTAGAAAAGCATTACAGTTCTATGTGTGCCGTCATCCATTTTCATTCAGACTCCTTGATTTGCAGGTTGGGGTGATGAACTCACCTGGACCCAGACATATGAAGAGGCTTTGTTCAGAGCCAAATCAAGGCAAGATTTTTTTTTAAGAAGTGTTTAATAAAACCTTGGAGATATACAGTAATATTTTGTATTAAATATCAAACTTTCTCCACTGTTTCACAGCAACAAGCCACTCATGATCATCCATCACCTGGAAGATTGCCCACACAGCCAGGGTGAGACTGAAACCTCATAATGCATGCTTTGTGCTGCCCTTAGCTTCCATTTACAATATGCTACATCACTGTCTTTGCTTCAGCATGAATTCTGAGATTTATTGCTGCACTATCTTTTTTTATTGCTTTATTGCTGTACAATCTACTCTCGTATATAATTTAACTACACACCCAAAACATGCACACTGACTAAGCTCAATTCATCTTATCTTAAGGTGCCCAGGCAGTTCCACGCTGTACCTCTCTGCCTGTGTAATTTTGTGCCATTCCTGAATGCATCCGGTGATAGATACCCATAGACAAATGTTTAGCCTCTACACAATCCTCATTCTTATCACAAACGCACAACTGTGTAGCGTCCTTTGTTTGCTTAAAAATTCAGAAAGGTTCCCTTGATTTTATTCTTAATATAGCCTCTTCATTTACATTTTTGTCTACATCATGGTCTTTCATAGATTCATTCATTAATTCATGTACGCTGCCAGTCTCACACTGCTTCCTAGCACGCAATAAAAATATGTTTGTATTGGGCGTTTAACCTGATGTTAACAGTTTGAAAAGCACACACTATCAGCTTTCCTTTAGAAACATCTACAAGTCCTCTCAAGTTCATTTTTATCCTTTACAACACAGCTCTGAAGAAGGTGTTTGCTAACAACAAAGAAGTCCAAAAAATGGCTAATGAAGACTTCATTCTGCTGAACTTGGTGGTAAGCTAAAAAACCTGGGAGAAATAAGGAAGAAGACTACAAGAACTAGTCATTTAATTAGATTATAAGGTATTATTTTATACATTGTGCACCACTACCTTCATAACCTTAACAGAGTTGGGTAAGATAAGGAGCTTGTAAGGTGGATGACTGTTTAATCAATACAGGACTTGATTAAAATATAAAGATTCACAAAGAAAAATTTTAAATAAAAATAGTAACTATTTTTATTTCTCTTATCTGAGATGCGGAATCCTTGTGATATTTTTTTTATGTTTGAGCAAAGCAGGTGAATCTTTCTTATTCTCTTACACCTGAGAACTTTATTTAATGCTAAATTTAGATCCTTAATGTCTCCGAGACAAAAGTCTACAACACCCACTGATTCCATAACAAACAATTTATGTATCTTGATGTTTTTGTGTTTTTTACAGTATGAAACTACAGATAAGCACCTGTCTCCTGATGGCCAGTATGTGCCCAGAATTATCTTTGTAGGTGAGTGAACTACAAGCACAGTGTAAAAAAGCCCCGTGTTCATGAGAGAGGTTATCTGCTGTTTCCTGTTGTGACCAGCATGTGGCTGGATGAATGGATATCTAAGCAACAGTCCATAATGATACTACAGATAATTCTGACAGATCTTTTGTGACGAAAAGAAATCTATAAATGCAGTCAGTCGATGAATTCAGTTCAGGACTGAAGAGAATAACTCTATTCAAGAGAATAGAGTTAGTCTATTCAGGTCTTAAATGAATTATTAAGGAACAATCTAAAGATTTAATAAATAAGCCACTGACCACAGTTACCATAACCAAATTGTATAGCGCTTTAATATTATCTAAGTTTAATAGTACTGGAAAAAATGATTAAATTGTTATTTACTATTTCTGCTACTACTAATAAAGATGCTGATAAGTGTTAGAAGTGTCTGATAGTGCTTTCTTCCCCACACAGATCCTTCCCTGACTGTGAGAGCTGACATTACAGGGAGATACGCCAATCGCCTCTATGCTTATGAGCCATCAGACATCAACCTGTGTAAGTACCTGTATAATTTTAACAGAAACACTGGCTTTCTATCGCAAAATACAAGACCTAAAAATGTTATAAACGAAATGAAGTTTGGAATCCTGAGAGCCCTCCACCAGAACTATTGTAAAATACTTTTTTATAATATTATTTTTGTCAGCAATGAAGTGGGATCATTTCGTAAACTGAATGCAGTTCAAAATAGTTTTTGACCAGTACTTTAAATGTTTATGTCTTTAAATTAGTGATCAGCAACATGCAGAAAGCCAAGAAGCTGCTGAAGACGGAGTTGTAGGAGCTGGAGAGAGCTGTCGAGCCTCCGAGGGTCTGAAGATAATCCTTGTGCTGTAGTGTCAGTGTCAAGTAGTCGGAGCGCCTGGAATGTTTACTGGTGTAATACTAAGCACTGAGTACTGTGTGTGTTCACTTTCAGGGGTGGGAGGCTTTGCTTTCAAAGATTCTGTTATTATTTGTATGTCTGTGTTTGGAATGCTGAATATTGCCACATGCTTGTATAATAAATGTAGCTGTTTTCAATAACACCTGGTTGTCGTTGATTTTATTAATCTCCTTAAAGTGAAGGGAAATGTTATTGAATGTCAGGCACCATTTTCATCCAAAGAACGTAAATGTAAAAAGTTTTTATTTTCATGACAAAAAACTCTTTCTTTATATATAATACTATATACTGTATAATATAAAATGGATTCATATGGGTACAGATACATTCATTAGCTGTATAAACTACAACAAACATCTTACGAAGTGGGCGAAGGCAGAACTTATTTTCAAAGCTCTATTTGAAAGGAATCAAAAAAGGAATTAGTTAATCAATGCATACGCCTGTGCTCCAGGACTGTTACTTTGTTCAATGCATTTATTAAAAGCATTTCTGGCCAAGATGGAGAAACCCATGAAGCTTCTGAAGAGTGAATTATAAGGTCCCCGAGGAGCCACTGTACTGTGTCACATACCACAGGCAGGTCTCGAGGACAGGAATGAGGACCCAGTCCAGAGCTGAGAAATGAAATACCATTTGTGTTCCTTTTGTCACATGGAAACGAGTTATGAATGGAACTGTTCTATGTTCTTCAAATAAAAGACACAAAAAAATCCCTCTCTTAGTATTACATACAGTATGAAATCTGCTAGTTTACATTTTAAATCTAATCATGTCACAGGGGGTTTCATGTTTCTGAAAGAGATATTTTGGGAGATCCCATCAGACAGCACTCACAGAAAGTGAAATACTGCTGTACTGAGCACTGTAATGTTGCCAAACAATTAAACTGTACAAATAAAATCCAGAAAAGGTGTACTTACAAAAAGGTGTATTCTTATGCAATCAAGCCATGATTGGAGCAGGATTCTAGTCTGTGATAAGGTAACAATTTGGTATCTTAATGCTGCTTTATTGACGTGTGCAAGAATACACTTTTCTTTCAATTATACAGATATACAAAGCCTTGCCGAGATTAATTTTATATAACTCATTTTGTAGACAATGCTTGCTGTTGCTTAGAGTCTGTCCAGCTTTGTCACAGAACCTTAACTTCCCCCATTCCTGGATATTCCTTCCCCGTCTCTCCACTGCGCATAAGATTGTAAAAATAGGAGACCTGGAAGAACTGCACAGAACCCTACAGACACCCCTACAAAACCCCTTCTGTTCCACAGACACATAATACCCCTCCGCTCAGGACAAGGGTGTAATTGTGCATTGATTCAGGTCAGCAAAGGCTGCCTGTGCTAGTCTGAAAGTTATTACCTGGCAAAACTCATTAACTCAAGGGTAAGGCTTCTACTAATTGTCCAGAAGAACTGAAAACTATAGACAATGTTGCACGTTTTTGCTGCTTATTGGACAGCCACGTACCTCTTTTAAAAGACATTCCCTATTTAGCAAAGTGTAATCCTGGCTTGCTCATTACAGTGTGTCTTTATCATCACAATTATTTTATATATTGTAGTTACAATTATTATAAACCACATACTGTGTACATCAAAAATAGTCAGGACATCTCATTCAACAGCAGGTGAAAGTAACTGTGCAACCACACACACACACGTCACAAGTGTGTCATTTAACTGCGGGACTGGAATGCTCTGGAACTGGTGAACTGCGTTACCTAGGAACTCTGCTGGAGGGAGTTTTCAGGCACAGCTCTCCACTGCTGAGAGGGTCAGTGGAAAACAGCTCAGCTTGTATTCATTGTTAGTTCAAGTTACACAAGGAGACAATCAGCCATCAAGAAAGCTTAAAGATACAGAAAAAGAAGATCACTACCTATAAAGTAAGGTGTGAGGCACAGTCTAAACTACAGCATTTGGTATAAGAATTTCGTTATGCTTGTGCATGTAACAGCATGTAAGAAACTTAATTCCGGTCTTCAAAGGGATGTTTTATGAAACACAACAGAATCAATATATCAAATTATTTTTTTATTGGTACAAATGCTCAGTTACACAGGCTGAATTCACAGACCCTTCTAATCTAACAGCACACACGTCAGCAGTTCATGCAAGAACAGGTCAAGCACACATTCGGTCACAGGCAAAATGTCATATGCAGTAGTCATAGATCAAAACTCAGTAGTAAAAATTGTGTCAAGTCTACAAAGGGTGCTACCTTACAATTAAAGATTAAACAAAGAGATGTATCTTAATTTAATAAATCTGACATTGTTTTGTTTTTTTTTTTAGAAAAGCTGAAAGGGGAGTTACTATGCAGAAAGTAAATATGATAAAACTTTTTAACTCTGTCACATTTATTTTCACAGTACTGACTGTGGCCCAAACTAATGAGAAACAGAGTAAGCATTAAAGACACTAAAATACATCTGTATTCATGGTATAAATTAAGAATGGCATTTACTTCATATTTTGTCATTTAAATATATATATGTGAGAAAACAATTTATAAATAGCAGACATTGAATAAGTTCAGCATCAGCTAGAAACATGTTGTCTTTGTAATACTTCAAAGTTTTTTTTCAGTTTAGAGCTTCACTTCACAAACTTGGAACAGCAGTTTCCCATCAGTTATTGCACGTAATTAGTAATAAATATTCTCTGCACTGACAAGTCTTTGAATCTAGCATGCAAATCATGTAGTCTGCCTCCATTAGTGTCACATTCTGCACTACAGTAGCTAAATATCAAGATGAAAATGATTACCTGAAATGTGTAAATTCCCAACATATTTGCCAACAAGTTCCATATTATACAAGAAGTCTACGAACAAAAATCACAACACCAGTTTCTAATAAAATTAAACATATGTAATAAATCTGTAGATCAAGATGACCAATTGAAAATACAATTCTTCAGAAATAATTTTGAAACACTATTCTACACTTCCCCCTGTTTTCTTCAGCAATACTTGGTTTAAAATGATCAAAGAAGTGAACCAGGAAAACATTTCCAGAGAACACAGCAAGGTACTAAAATCCTAGACAGCAGTGTGTTCACAGACATATTGGAGTGTTCTTATATTATTAATACACATCTCTGTCATTTCCAATGACGATGTTACAGATAACACATCCAGTGGAAAGAATAGCCTCTTCCATTTACAAAGATCATTCCAAGACAGGAAAAATGTTAACATGTCTTCAATTAATATAGTGCATTTTTTTAACAAGGTATTTTATTGCTTTCTTATCACAGAAAAGCACTGGGATTTGCTCGTGGGTCTTTCTGATTCCTGTACCTATATGTTAGCCACACTCCCAAAATCTGAAATAAACACAAAACAGATATTTATGGAGCAAAAATGACTTCATGCATTTAATTACAGATCAAAGAATTTAGAAATCTACTTGTGATTATGAAGACCGCAGTTTTAAGAACTTTATTTGATGTTTCTAGGGTTAACTCCTTACCTGCTTGTTCAGAAGACAACGTTATTAATTTAGCCAGTACGTCCAGGGGAATTGACTTTGAAAACAGTTACTAAACTTGTTAAACTTAAACTATGCACTTCATTGAATGGCACTGTATTAAAGGCACCCACCTCCGTGAAACTGAAGAACAGCCCGATACCTCCAACAAACCTCAACACCTCCCCTGCATGCTCCTGGATTTTAGACGCACAGGATACGCAGGAATTGTTATGATAACAAGTCTGGAATTGAAAAAGAAAGATGAGATAATAACACAGAACTCTGTGGATGTCTTACTGTATACTGCTCTCAGTATGCAAATACTTCTGCATACTCACTGCACAGCAGATCAGGTGGAGAGGAGAGAATCTGCTGCACCGGTTCAGGGGGAAACCTATAGACAGGGCCATGGCAGCTTACTGGACCGGTCATTGTCAGGTTTCTGTCCTTTGAAGGCAACCCCAAGCCCAGGCAGAGTCCGAACAAGAGCTAACCAGACCACTGGTCGGCACATCACAGCATCTAACAATAGTTAGGACACTGGGGGGTCATAACAGGTCAGTGCTGCCAGGGATGGACATACCTGGTGATGCTCCTTCTTTACCTTGTCTAAGCAAGAGGTGCTCCAGCTGTAGGGATGGCACGCCATTTAAAAATAGATGGGAATGAAAGTGCTTAATAACAGAGGTGTAGTTACTGTACATTACTGCATTAAGCGGAATGAGATCAGACTCATCTGTTGTACTGTACTGTATGTGTTGTTGGCCTGAGTCCCGTTAGCATTTTTTACAAGAAGTGAAATTAAGATCGCACTTACAGCATCACAAGGCTGACTGTAGTCAACGGTTGAAAACCCACAGCAGTTCAGACTTTTCTCAATATCCCCCTGTGTGGTTTGAGAATTGTTCCAGCCTGCTTCTAAGAGGTGATCCTATGAGGAAGACAGACTGTGAAACTGACAAAATTGCATTTAACACATGACATCAGTGATATCAATGTGGTCTACTAGTTCCATTATAATACTCATCATGGATCAATTTTTGCTAAGGACTTTCTACAACTGCACATCACCTGTTCAGAATAACCATTTGTATGAGTACAGTTTTATTCTGCAAACTTGATAAAGTTTTATAAAGATGTATGCAAAAAAGTAGATGTATTTATAGATATATGCAAAAAAATCTTTAAGAGACTTTAATTTCCATAAAAATACAGTTTTAGTCATTATTTGTTGACCAGTGCCACCTTATATTTAGCAGAGTATAGTATATATGTTACACATACTTAATTAAAAGACCCATAAATACTGCTTTCACCCTTTGGTATTTCATGTTAAGGATAATCACTCAGGAATATTGTATATTGAGACTCATAAGTGAAGCATAAAACATTAAAAGGATTAGGGAAAAAAGACGATCAAGTGGTTATTCTCTGTTTGGACTATTCAAATAATCAAAGTTTACATACCTGCTGTTCCTTATTTAGTGCAAGGCAAGCACAGGAAACCGAAAACTGAACAACAAACACCATGAAGAGAATAATCATATACTGTTCAGACAATCAAGGAAATAATTTAGCCATGACATAGAGTTCCCAACCTCAAAGAAGAAAACCTAGGTGCTCAATACAGAGCGGCCAATGCAAGATAACAATTAACAAGATACAGCTCTTTAGAGAAACAGAGGAGCCACAGTAGCCGGTTGATGACATCATCTCTGTAGCACTGAGGTGGCAGCACATAGCTTAAAGGTTAAGAGACAGGCTGGTAGCAACACCTGGAATGGATGCATAATCCCACTAGTGACATCACTGCTCTTAGCAACATTAGTAACAGCCCCAAACTCTAGTTTTCATATTCAATACTCTGTTATCCTTTAAGACCTTATCTAATATTTTTACATTGCCTCAAAAAGAAGTCACACAATGCAGCAATGCTAGAACAGAAGGACATACAGTATTTCACACAGCTAATGATTCCACATTTCAAGCTATTGTTTGGGTAACAAAGTGGCCTTGTTTTATTGTTCGTTAGACTGTCAGACATTTTACATGCCTGCTCACTGCACCTGTGCTTTTAAAAGCAGTTTGCTCGAGTATTCTCAACTCTGCCTTTAGCCTGAATCTGCACATCAGGGAGGCACTGTTTCTATTTATAGAACTGTTTCACTACTGCACTTGTTCCAGGCTCAGAAAATGAACTAATTATTTACAGCATATAAAATAATAAAATATATAAAATATATAAACAGAGAAAGGACAGGCTGACTCTTTGCTGAGTAATAAATAAAGGAATGGATTATACCGATGTTAATATTTCTCCATGTAAGGAGTCTACAGGAATAAGGTATTTAGTTCTATTAGCTTTTCAATTATCAAATGTTTGATCTGCTACACCTTTATAGTAAAGCTTATACAGTATCTGTCTTCTGTGTCAGGGGAGTGCAGCCACACCCACTGTGTACTTAAGATGAACTATTCCCTACTATTCAGGAGACTTACTCACACAATAAAAAAAAACATACTTCCATCCGGAAGGCTTTTTATAAGAAGCAGAGCAATTCTGAAATGAAAATATGCATGCAAATTAAAATGGAAGAGATGTTTTCTGGAATGATTTTTCATTCAGTTGCACAAAACCATGTGACAAAACAGCTCTTCCTGACCCTCCACTGTCCACTGTCTAGTTTTACATGATTATCAACGTATAAAATAATTATGGCAATATTATCACATTCAGTCGGGACTTAATCTTCACACTTTCAACTAACAATAACTTCAGTAGCTCAGCTACATCCCAATAAATAAATACGCTAATGCAGAGCTCAAATGCTGAACTAAGAGCCAATCCGTTTGACTGAAAATTAGATGTTTGGCCAAAATACATGTGTGTAACAGATGGTAAAATGTGTGTGATGCAAGTTTGCAGGTCCCAGGACACGGGCCAGTGCTAGCAGCTTACAGCAGTAGCAGGACCGGCTAGCGTGGGGAACCAACTACTGGGAGACGCGGTTTCCTGGGGACTCTGAAATGCGACGGTACTCTGAATGCAAGTAGAGTGGGTTCAGCAAAAGTAGGAGATCATGTGGGGAAAGCAGAGAAAAACAAAACAAAAAGTCCTAGTGGATGAAAATAATCCTCTGTGGGTCCTGGTCCAATATCCCCCCCCCCACCGGACAGAGCCTAAAAGGAGCCTAAAAGTAATGCATAAGAGATTTGCCACTTGCTGAATTTAACTAAATAGGAACTAATTTCAAGCTTAATGCTCTTCAAAGGAAGCGATATTAGCTATGTATGTGGTTAGAGGCACGGGAGGAGGAAGAATCGAAGGCCAGTACTGACCAGTTGGACACCAGCCGAAAAGGGGGGCAGTATATGGGGGGAACCTTCTCTGCGGCTGCCTAGAAACAAGTGCAAGGGACAGAGTGGGCGTGAATGAAGAAACCCAGGTCTGGTGCAAACTGGCTCCTCCTGAACTTCTCTTATAACTTATGTCTTACAACTTCGTTTTGACATTAATCTTTTACAGTAAACCATTCAAGCCACGCCGAGTGCACACGTGGAAAAGTCTGCCATCTCCTAGCACAGCGATGTCACGCCATTGCCATTGGATGGCAACTGCATATTGTGGCACCTACAGTCCCAGACTGCCAACCATTTGAACTGTCCGCACATCACCGCATGGTGTCCTGTCTGCTCCACAGCGATACTGTACAGGAGGCCTAATGCTGACTGGAGAACAGGCACATCTCTCAGGGCATGCCTGCAGGCAACCCAGGAAGTTGCAGGGCTAGCTGCTGTGGCAGGAGCCAAAAGAGCTTGCCTTATCCAAACCCTACCCAAGGTAGTGCTGAGACAACCGTAAGCAGACATCCTGTCACAATCAGCGAACGACACAGTCAGCATCTCAATCGGGGGGAGGTCCCGCCTCACACCCTGTGATTCCAGAATAGGCTCCAGGTTGAAGTAAGCCTGAACGGGATCAAGCAACTTTATCACAATAGATGGATTAGGACCGATACAAAGTGTAGCAGGAAGTGGTTCTACTTTTTTAATCCAGGAAGCATA